TAGTCAACCATGATTAAAGTTCCAGACCCAGTGACTTAAAACAGCAAGGTGCCACTTGAGTTTCCTGTGTATTCTGATTATCAGTCTATTATCTGAAGTATAGTTTACAAATTATTGTGTCTTTTGCTGTGCAGAAACGTCTTAACATAATATAATCCCATGTGTATATATTGGGTATAATTGCCTGTGCCTGAGAGTCTTACTTGAGAAGTCTTTGCCAATGTCTCCTAGAGTTTTTGTAGTGTTCCACCAGTAGTTTTATACTGAGAAGTATTAGATTCAGATCTTTGATCCATTTTGAGTTGATTTTTGTTAATAGTGAAAGAGGAGGATACAGTTTCATTTTCATAAGGGAATGGAGATTAAAACCACCGTGAGATACCATCTAATCCCTGTCAGAATGGTGAATATTAAAAATACAAAAAACGGGGACCAGCAGTTAGCATAATGACTATGTCGCTGGACTCCCATGTAGTTGACCACAGTTCGAGTCCCGGACCTGATGGCTTAAACTCACACCGGGCATGTGTGTGTGCATGCCCAGGATCCAAGAAAAGAATGGAGAAGGGATTGTGGCATGGCCATCTCCCCAGGGGGAAGTGACTTCTAACTTTCTATCTCTCTGTCTCTGTCTTTCTGGCGAGTTCACGCACCCTATAGCATAAACCTCTCCAAAAAAAAAAGAAAAAAATGATAAGTATCAGCAGGATTATGGTGAAAAGGGAAGTCTCCTTCACTGATGGTAGGAATGTAAATTGATCTAGGCACTCTGTAAAGCAGTATAGAGTTTCCTCAAAGACCTACAAATAGGACTAACATACAATACAGCAATCCCACTCCTGGGTATCTACCCACAGAACAGGAAAATGTTCAGTTGAAAACTGCTTGTACACATCAATGTTTATTGCAGCACTGTTCACTATTGCTAAAACATAAAACCAACCCAAATGTCTGTGAACAGATGAATGCACTGAAAAAGTGTGGCACATATACTCTATTGGATACTATTCAGCTATAAAAACAAGACCATGGTATTTGATAGAAAGGGGTTGAATATGGAAATTTATTCCTGAGTGAAAGAAACCAGATTATGAAAGAAAGTGTATGTCTCCACTAAAATATACCAACTATCTGCACTCTATGGCAGAGACTGAAAGATTGGAGAACATGAAAGCAGTGAAAATAGTTATAGACACTGGAGACAGTATGGAAGGAGGGGGAGAGAAGGGAAGTGTATAGCGAAGGGAATCAGGGGAGAAAAAAATAGAAAGTCAAGACATTTGTGGGTCACAGAAATGGTTTATTACCTGTTGATGATAATGTGTATAATATTCTCAACTGGACTGGTCTGAGATTTATTTCATTTTGAATAAATTCTCTTTACAAGCCAAATAATGTATACCAATGAAATGTTTAAAAAATAATAAATATAAAATAAATTAAAAATAAAACAAAAACAGCAGGGCACCCGTGTGTGTGTGTGTGTGTGTGTGTGTGTGTGTGTGTGTGTTTCCAAAATCCAGAGAGGAAAATAGAAGAGAAGAGATTGTGAAGTGGTGATCCCTTCTAAGGGGTGATTTCTTGCTTTCTGCCTCTCTGTCTTACTCTGTTTCTCTAGTAGCACACTCACACTACAGTAACAATCTTAAATAAATAGATAGATAAATAGAATGCTATGAAAGGAAAAGATGAGTAAATCAGTTTAAAGAGAACCCTTAGGTTACACAGAGATGGACCCTGAAGTCAAATGATTGTCTTTATGGTGAATGTTAAACTGATTTACTATGCGGTATGACTATTCTTCTCCAGAGCTTCTTCATAGCATTTATCATCTCTGAATTTCTCAGTGTGTAAATTAATGGGTTCAGCATTGGGGTTATAACTGCATAAAACACAGTCAATTTCTTGTCGATGGAGAATGTTTTAGCAGGTCTTACATTAATGAACATACAGGGAACAAAAAAGAAGACAACCACTGTGATGTGGGAACCACAGGTTGAGAGGGCTTTCCATCTCCCTTCCTGACTAACGTTCTTTAGAGAATGCAAGATAAAACCATAAGAGATGAGTAAGACCATAAATACAATAGTACAAATCATTCCTCCATTGGCCACCACTAAGAGGCCGATGACATAGGTGTCAGTACAGGCGAGTTCCAATAAGGGAAACATGTCACATGCAAAATGATCAATGACATTGGGGCCACAGAACGGGAGCCTATATATGGTGCTAAGCTGAACTATTGAGTGCAAAAATCCCCCAACCAATGACACCACCAGCAATATAACACATACTCTATGCTTCATGATAACCAAATAATACAAGGGCTTACAGATGGCCACATAGCGATCATAGGCCATTACCACCAGAAGAAAGATCTCTGACCCACCAAAAAAGTGCTCTGTGAAGAGTTGAGTCATACAGAATTTGAAAGATATGGTATGTTTCCCAAAGAACAAGTCTGAAATCAATTTGGGAGAAATAGATGAGGAATAAAGTACATCAATAAGTGATAAGCCAGCAAGAAAGAAGTACATCGGTGAGTCCAGGTTCCTACTGACAATAACAGTCACAACAATGAGCAGGTTGCCCACCATGGTTAAAGTGTACAAGAACAGGAATATCACAAAAAGGACTTTCTGTTCTTCTGGGTTCTGTGTGAGGCCCAAGAGGACAAAGAAAGTCATATTGTTGCTTGGTTCCATTTACTTCTTTTTGACACTGCAGTCAGATTCTGGAAGCAGTTCACCTACAAAATGAGGGGAGAAATTTAACTTTTTTTATATTTTATTTTTTAAGTATTAAAAGGTATTTTTAAAAAGTATTATTTAAGTCTTTCTATCTTATTTTCTTAGTCAAATAAAAAATGTATATGGATTATTTGCCATTTCATCACTGAATTTGGTGTTGGCAAATAGAAAAAGACAGACTTTTATCCTTAGTGATATATAAAGCAGATATGAAAACTACAGACCACATTATGTAAAGTTTCTCAGTGCTCTAATATATAAGTAACACTGTGTTCACAGAAAGTTTTTTTAACTTTTTATTTTTTAATTATTATTACCATTATTTATACATTCAGTCACTATATAATATTTAGATTGTAAAGAGACTTTACCCAGCATAATATATATCTCAGTCCAGTTGAAAATACTATACACATCCTCATCATCAACAGATAATAAATCATATCTGTGTTCCACAAATATCTTACCTCTCCATTTTTCCCTCCCAAATTTTCTTTCCTGTGCTCTTCCCCTTCCACACTCTCCTACTATGAAGAAGTCATTTCCTAACCCAATGACTCCCAGTGTTTCTCCAGTTTTTACCACCAGTACTTTTATAGTTTGTGGTCTTAGGTTTAGATCTTTGATCCCCTTTGAGTTAATTTTCGTTAATAGTAACTAGTAGAGGTTCAGATTCATCTTTCTTCAGATGGATACCCAGGTTTTTCAGCACCAGTTGTTAAAGATGTTTTCCTTTTCACTCTGAATTGACTGGTGCCCTTTGTCAAAGATCAGTTGAGTGTATGTGTTGGGGTTTATTTCTGGGGTTTCTACTCTATTCCATTGGTCCTCGTGTATATTTTTGTGCCAATACCATGCTCTTGATTATCACAGCTTTGTAATATATTTTGGTGTCAGGAAGTGAGATGCTACCCACTTCACTTTTTTTGCATGGGATGACCTTGGCAATACAGCATCTTTTATGATTCCAGATGAATTATTTTGTCTTTTCTAGATCTGTGAAGAATGTCTCTTGCAATTTTATAGGGATTGTATTAAATATAGAGATTAATTTGTGTAGAATTACAACTTTGATTATATTAAGTCTGCCAATCCAGGAACATGAGATATTGTTCTACCTTTTTGTGTACTTTTTGATTTCCTTTGTAAGGTTTTTATTGTTTTCCTTAAAGAGGTCTTTGACTTCCTTGGTTATTTTTATTTCTAGGTATCTTATACTTCTTGTGGTTATGGTAAACGGAATTACTTTTATCAGTTCTGTCTCTGTCTACTTGTTGTGTTTATATAGAAATACTATAGATTTTTGTAAGTTAATTTTGTATCCTTCCACTTCACTGTATGCATTTTTTACTTTGAGAAATTATTTGTGGGTACTACTGGGTCTTCTATGCATACAATCATGTCATCTTAAAACAGATCATTTCAGCTCTTTTTTTTTTCCCTGTAGGAATGCCTTTTATTTACTTATCTTGTCTGATCACAATGGATAGGACTTAGCCAATGTGGTCACTGAAAGCTTTTAAAGGAAATAATATCTTAGCTTAACTGTAAAAGAAATTGAGAATTAACTGTAATAGAAAATAGGAAGGTTGTTTTATACAAATGTATATCATATAAAAATTAATAGAAGTGTACTTGACAAGACACTGTAGATATTTACTTAATCAAAAATGGTAAAAACTAATTATGAATGACTGTTTTGATATTATATTACTTCCCTGCTCAAAACCTCTACAGCGGATTTCTATACTACCTTTAATAATCCAGTCTTCTTAACTGGGGCTTCAAGAGCCCAGATGGCTTAAATGCAGGTTGCCTACCCAATTTTTTTCCTTATAATTTTTCACACTTACCCTGTTCTACTTTGTTTGCTATTCCTCAAATACACAATGAGCCTTTTCATCTCCTTTGAATAAACCAATTTTGTACATGCTCATTTCAGAGACTAGAAGTTGCTTACCTGTGAAATAATGGTAGATATTGTGCAAATGTACATTACAATTTAATTTTTCATTTATTCATTCTTTCAATAAAAAAAGTTTACATGAAACTTACACTATGTCTCTTTTTTAAATGTTTTAGTCTTAGGGCATGTGAACTTACTGGAGAGAGACAGACAGACATGAGATGGAACATGAGAAATAACACCCTAGGGGGAATGGCCATGCCACAATGCCATCTCCTCCATTCTTGTCCTAGGATTTTAGGCATAAGCATACATGTGCTGGTGCAATTTTCAAGCTGTCCATTCTGGGACTGAAACTATGGTCAATCATTTGAGAGTCCAGTACATTCACCACTATGTCCCTCCCTCCAACCCCCAACTGTCCATCCATTTCTATACAGTCTCTAGTATCTACTCTTACTCTTTCTGCTATTATTATTTCTAGTCTTTCAGTGTCTTCCATGAAGTACAGACATTTGGTATATATTGAGTGAGGACATTGAAAGTCTGTCTTTCATGGTATAACTTGCTTCCCTTAACATTAAATCTTCCATCCACTTTGTATCAAATGACAAGATTTCATTAATTTTATTTTAAGACTGAGTAATATTCCATAGTGTATATGTGCCACTTTTTAATCCAATCATTTGTTCTTGGGCACTTAGGTTGACTCCACATCTTAGCAACTGTGAATAATGCTGCAATAAACATGAATGTGTAAAAGTGCCTTTTGACTCAAATTGTTTTCCTATCCTTTGGATAAGTACCCAGGAGTGCAATTTCTGATTGGTATGGGAGTTCTACTTGTGAGTCTTTGAGGAACTTCCATTTGTTCTCCACAGAGGCTATACTAATTTACATTCCCACAAACAGCAAGAGGATATGACTCTTTCACCACAACTTTACCCATTATAAATAAAATACCTATTGAATAATCTCAAAAATAGACAAGTGAGATTACATCAGATTAAAAAGTTTCTGAACTGATTGAAATGGTCTTATGGTTTTATCTTTCTTTCTGTTAATATGGTGTGTTATATTTATGGTTTTGTGTATGTTGAAACACTCTTGCATCTCTGGAATAAAGCCTATCTGGTAGTGATAAATAACCTTTTTTTATATGCTGTTAAATATGGTTAACAAGTATCTTGTTGAGAAATTTTGCATCTATATTTTTTGTTGTATCCTTATCCATTTAGGTAATGAGGGTTATTGTGGCTTCATAGAATGAATTTGGAAAGGTTCATTCCTTTTGGACCTCTAGAAACAGTGTGAGTAGAATGAGGGTTACCTCTTCATTAAAAATTTTGTAAAATTTGTTGGCTAGTCAAAGACTTTTTAAGCAAGACCCCAAAGCACAGGCAATAATCCCCAAAATAGACAGGTGGGATTACCTCAGATTAAGAAGTTTCTGCACAGCAAAGGACACTATAATTAGTGTGAATCAACAACCCTCAAAATGGGAGATAATTTTTGTTAATTTTGCCTCAGATAAGGGACTGATAACCAGAATACATAGGAAACTCAAGCAACTTAAACAAAAGAAAATTAACTCAATTTTTAAAAAAGGTGAAAATGAGCTAAATGAACAATTCTCTAAGGAAGATATAGGAATAGCAGTAAAGCATGTGAAAAAATGTTCAGCATCTATCATTATAAAGGAGATGCAGATCAAAACCACAATGAAATACCACCTAACCCCAGTCAGAATGGCAAAGATTAATAAAACAATTAAGTGCTGGAGAGGATGTGGTGAAAGGGGGACAAACCTACACTTCAAACCAAGGAAGGACAGCCTAATTTATTTTCTAAAGTTCCTGAAATATAAAATCCATTTATATTGTAATGGCCCAGAGTAAGAAGTACGTCTTCAGAATTTGGTTATGATAATGCCCAACATGAACCATAAGTGAGGGCCATTTGACCTCTAAAACTCTCACTTAAAGAAAGATAAGGTTTTCATTTCAATATATAAGATGTTTTATAGGCTGGAAACTGCTGGTTGTGAGCTCAAAGACCCCAGACTGAATGGCTCCAGACACCTGGTGGGAAATTTGATTATCTAAGACCTCACAAATCAAGAATGCCGTCGAGATGATCACACCCTCTTGAAACAATCCTGAACTGATCATGTGCCTATGACCTCTGCCCCTAATTTTGCCCTTAAAAACACATGAGGGAAACATCTCAGGGAGACCAGGTCTTTTCAGCATGAGCTTTGCTCTCCTTGCTTTGCACTTTGCAATAAAGTTGTACTTTCCTTCATCACACCATGTGCCTATGGCTTGGTTTTATAGGACTTGGGTGAGCGAATCTGATTTGAGTTCAGTAACATACTGTTGGTGGGGATGTAAATATGTTCAGTCACTGTGGAGAATGATATGGAGGTTTCTCAAAGATCTTCAAATAGAACTACCATATGATCCAGCAATTCCACTCCTGGGTACCCACTAAAAGGATAGGAAAGTACTCAGAAAAGTGATTGCACAACTATTTTCATTGCAGCATTGTTCCTGTTTGCTAAGACATGGAACCGACCCAAATGTCCATAAAGAGATGAATGGATTAAAAAATTGTGGCACATATACTTCAAGGAATATTATTCAGCCATAAAAAAAAACAAGGCCTGGAATTTGATAGAAAGTGGGTAAATATGGAATATATGTTGCTGAGTGAGTCAAGTCAGGCTATGAAAGAGAGACATTGTATAACATTTAACATATACTGACTGTCCACAATTTATGGTAGCGACTGAAAGACTGGAAAACATTAAAAATTGTAATGGACATAGAGACAAAGTGGAAAGAGAGTGTGGGAGGGGAAGAACATATGGGGGGAAAAATAGAGAGGTAAGACATTTGTGGGACACAGATATGGCTTATTATCTGTTGATGAGGATGTGTATAGTATTCTCAACTGAGCTGAACTCAGGTGTATATCATGCTGGGTAAAGTCTCTTTATAATCTAAATAATGTATAGCAATTTAATGTATGAATAATACATTTAAGA